GTAACTCCCAAAACCGATATAACTTGCATCTGTATAGAGGGATAATGTTCCAGAAGTAATTCATTTATCTTTTAAAATTATGGATGTATTATCAACCCAGTAATTCGTTATCTGAAGGGTGAACGGGAATTATTTTAAATGCATTCTCAATATCAGTCGTAAAAACTAAAGCCCCTTTGCTATTTTTTTTTGTTTTTAAAAATGTAAATAGAGTCGTCAATTGTCTTATACTTGATGTAACAAAATTCTGGAGGTATTACGTCATTAATTAAATTAAATTGATTAACCTTCTGGGTACGTCAAATGATTAATAACCCGAATTTGACGAGTTGCGTTTTGGGCACTCAGCCTAGGGGCGAACTACTAAAGGTTCTAGACACTAATTCTTCGTGTAATTTTGTGTTGAAGAATGTCTAAATGTTGCCTCACAGAGTTTAAATTGTCGCTAAGACTACGATGTTCTTTACCCTTAAAAGGTATTTTAACCCCTTTTTTTTAAACCTAAGACCAGGAACTCGCTATCAGTTCTATCGGAATTTGATAACCATATATGTCAAGATTAACTGAGGTTAACAATTTCTAAAACAATTATTTAATTTGTTGATTTAGGTGCGAACTGTTTAAATTCTGCCGGACCTTGATTACTTCAAACCCGTTGTCTTCCTTTAGCATTTGTGGTTGATTTGGTGGAAGTGAGACAGACCTTTCTACTGTGCTCTACCCCACCCCCACAGTGCTGACAAGTATGGAAAAATTTACACTCTTTTCTGTCGCAAATACCCTGTTCGGAATTGTTCAAGTTGAGTATTTATGAAGGGACAAACAGTAGTTTTCTGGAATGCTGTTTTACAGTTTGTTTGTACACCGGCTGTTAAGACATCCTGATACAATTCAATGTTAACGCGATCCCACTGAAGCTCCCCAAGAGAAATTTCTTTCCATTATCTGAAAGTCATCATAATTGATGGTTGCCAAAGCATTGGATTGATCAGCCAGCTTTTGGACAATGGAGCATTTTTCATTAATTTTATTACCTCGTTTACATTTTCTTTTTTGTTTTAGTTTTCTTTCCTTTTTTTTGACAAAAATGCTTACAAAAATGTGAAAGGCTGCCAACTACTATTTTTCCTTAATAATAGTCAGACTTTCATTTTTTTTCTTTTTTTTTTTTTTACTTGGCTTGAGTAAAGACCCAAACTTTACTTCATTTGTCCAACTTTGTGCTTTTGTTTTTGTGTCAATCCCAAGTGATAAGGGTCTAGAATTACTGTCCGATGTATCTATTACCGAAAACTGATACCAACACTTTTGGTAGCCTTGCTGCGTGGACGTAGTTGGTAGTTCCCGAGAAACCGCCGGAACTTGATCTGTGTGCTCCTCGCTCTTATTCTTCATTGCCTACAATTCAAGACACCTGTCTGAGTAAGGAAGACACTCATAATTCAAAACCTTCTCTGTCTATATACATGTTGAATCGACTTTGCATATTAACATTAAAAATTCAAAGTTAAAGAAATGCCCTTGGTCACCAAATCAAGCTTATAATGGAAATATTTTTTTCCAAGCCGTCTGGCGTCATAAACAACCAAGGACATCCACATACTTAAGTGTGCAAAAGTTTCTATAGCAGTCAATTCACATAGGCCAAACATAGGCTATAGTGACAGATCACAAGGAAAATAATCAAGACATTGTCAAAGCACCATATCATTTACACATGAGCATAATTCTCTGGTGTAACATACATCGGCGTGTAGAGACATTTTACTTTGAAAGCTGCTAGCACATAACATTAATAGCAACTGCTCAGCTGTACATATTACAGCTCATTGCGACAGATCGCAAACATAAAGATGCCATGTGCATCAAAGAGAACAGAAGCCATTTCTACTGTGACAGATCACAGAGCATATAGTGACATATCACTAAAACGATGCCATGTGCATCAAATGACTAGCAGCCATCATAAAATGTTCTACACTCACACATAAACAAGTGTACAATCTACATGTATACACCATAATATTGCTTGGTGGAAGATCAATATTTAAAATTCAAGTACATGTATCTTGAGTGCATAAGTTTCATAAAAATAAAAGTTATACTTATTGAGGAATGAAGACACTCATAATTTAAAAACTTCTTGTCTATATATAAGTTGAATTTGATTTGCATATTAATATGAAAGATTTAAGTATTAAAATGCCCTTCAATGTCACCAAATTGCCAAAGCATCATATCATTTACATTTGAGCATAATTCCATCAGCATGTAGAGACATTTTACTTTGAAAGCTGCTAGCACATAACATTAATAGCAACTGCTCAGCTGTACATATTACAGCTCATTGCGACAGATCGCAAACATAAAGATGCCATGTGCATCAAAATGAACAGAAGCCATTTCTACTGTGACAGATCACAGTGCATATAGTGACATATCACTAAAACGATGCCATGTGCATCAAATGGCTAGCAGCTATCGTAAAATGTTCTACACTTAAACCTAAACAAGTTTTGATTCCGTACGCCATAACATTGTTGTAAATCGATATTTAAAATTCAAGTACATGTATCTTGAATGCATAAATTACATAAAAATAAAGAAATAAATAATAAAACTTATCTCGTAACATGAACATGGTGAAGGTAAACATGCCATTAGGGTTGGGTAGTCTTCTTGCCCCACGTAGATTCCTGTATATATCATCATCCCATGTTCTTTGTTAAAGTGAACGCCATCACAAAACATCGGAAATTTAAAGTGTTTAATATTTTTTAAGTTTCTAATATTGAACACTCGTTTTCTGTACCAGCAGACATTTCAATTCTCTGTTGAATTTAATTACTAGTTCATTATAAGATATTGTGTATAAAAATCGAGTTTGAAAACGAGATATAAGCTGTCAAATTTTCACATGTGCAATATTGTCGCGTGGTGGAAACGTTTATTAATATGCGATGCATAAAAGGCGCAAGCTTAATTCCCTCACAAATGGTTCATTATCTCGTGTATCTGTTACATTGTCAACATCGTTTCCTCCTTTATGTAAAATAAGAACACCTGGGCGTAGATCTGCGTTTTTTCTTTCTAACATATTTATATGAGCCGATTATGATAATTTGCCACCACTAATTCCAAAATAATTAACCGCCGGATACCGGTATTCACATTGCAATCCCCGTAATCAGGGTAGGCATCGATTCACTGTTTTGAAATATATACTTCCACCAACAAAGCTAGATCTGTTCCACAATATTAAAAGGTTTAATTCCGAATCAAAGAACAACAAAGATCCAACATATCGAAGAAAATAACCATCAAAAATTGCAATTAAAATTACAGCAGAATTTTTGTTTGCGCGTTCACTGACAAGGTTCCGTGAGGGAATGGTGAAAGTCGTGAGAACCCGCGCGCATATCTTAGCATCCGACGGCCGAGCCTATAAATCATATCAATTTACAGAGAATTCTTCGAGAATTGCTTTAATCTCACGGATAAGATTTTTCGGGATTTAGAAACTTAATTGCTAACATGGGTCTGCCGTGTCAGATGTTTTACATAAATTAATTTAACGATGTAAATTAAATATTTTGTAGCTTAAATACTCCACTGAAAACAGAACCTCTGATAATTTACATCATTTTAACAAAATTCAAACAACCAAAAACTTACAACAATAAAGCTCAGACACAAACCAAATAGAATTGCTTGCTTCATGGCCGTCTAATTTGCCAGCTGTTCCGTATTGTATTAATATTCAAGCTTTATATACCGGTCAATTACATAGATCCTGGTGATTTTCACAGATGAGTTGTCGTAACAGAATTTTCCTATGATGATAAATAATAAAAGATTATGAGTTTACTATTGTACCTTCAGGCATTGAAACCAAAATTCAGAGTTAATTCTGAAATGTAATTTAAACTCATTTTCTTCTTTGTATTTAAAATTATGTGAACTAAAATATAAATGCATATACATAATTAATTTTAAAAATTCAAATAGTTCTGGTGTCAAGAATTTTTTTTTTTTTGGGGGGGGGGGGGTCTTATGAAAGAGGATACCTGTATCATTTGGATATGACTGGAGTGGTCTCGTGATCAAATCTTATAACGCTGTAATGATTCCCTCATCAGAATAAATGTCTTCAGATTTTTGTTTTTGATTTGCTTGTTTTTTTTATTTTCTTTTTCTTTTGGTAGCTTGTCTTTTATTAACGATAAAGGTTCCCCATTTTCAAAACGTTAATTTCTGTACTTTGCAAGCTTTAAAACAAAAGGCATGAAAGATAAGCTACATCTTTAATTAATTTTAGTTTAATTGATTGTTTGACTTTCTTTTTAAACCGTTTAATTTATATTTAGAGTAAAATGTCAAATGATTGAAATTTGAGTTATTTTATTTCCGAAATAAACAAGTAATAAAAAAAAATAAGACAAAGTCAGAACTTTTGCAATTTTCGTCTTTTGTGTAAAAGTTATTTAATAAACGGATTTGTAGATTGTTTATTACTTGTCAATTATTATAGCTATTAGATTATTTTCGTATTAAAGAAATGAGTAGGCAACTGGAATTTTTATTATGTAACAAAAAGAAATGAAATAGACTGGGTTGTCACAACAATTAGTCTTCAGATATTACTTTTCTAAGACATACAATCTTAAGCTTTCAAATATCATTTGGCAAAGGACAATGTCATACATTTTAATTTTAGTTTCGAAATTTGATCAACTTTCTGTACCTTTATGTGAAAATTTTCTTTCAATGGAGATCAAAATAGTCTGAAAATGGCCAATACCAACCAGCCCCCTCAAGCATCCCATTTAATTTAATTTCACAGCTACTTTTCATTGAACAGATGATTCCGACATTTTATCATTTATTGACAACATGTCGTATGTCGTATATACGTGATATGACATATATTCAACCTGTTTCATGATGAAATGATTCCGTCGTTCATACAGTTTTGAAATTTACGACACTCATTTGCTTGCCTAGCTAGAAGGTAAGTTTAGTCAATTTTTCGTGATTATTGATATGTACAACTACTGCCTTAGGAAGAAATCCTCTTTAATTTTGTTTGATAATGTACAATATCATAGATGTAGTTCACAATGGGAAAGATGTTAATATAGTATCTTGTTCGTGTATTTTTTAATTAATTTGTTTAATGAGAATCAAACATTAGGTCCTAAACTGTGCAGTGTGACGTTGAATGCTGAAGTTACAAATACTGAATTAATTTCCAAAGACTAAAGTAAGTAACAATTAATAATGATTTTCTTCTACATAGTCAAAAGAAGTGAAAACGTGGTATACCAACAAGAGAGATCAAATGAGTAAAGCTATTGACAAACAAGTTGACAAGACAATGATATCAACATTTTCGTTTAAAGTCAACATTTCGTAAATTGAATAGACTGTATAATGATCTTGTTAGCAAAATATCACAATATATTATAAAATCAAATACTGAAATGTTTTAATATTGCTTGTAAAACAACTTTTTATATTCTAAATTGCTGACTTATTTTTTCTAAAATGACAAGGAACACGGCATGTGTGACCTGTTGGAAGAAGTTGGTCACTCCTCCATGGTACTTAATCCCAATACTAATGTTTAAGAGGTCCGTGTGAACTCTGCACTAGGTATAGGCTTGTGTTGTTTGAATGGACTTTTTAGATCTAAAACTGTTCGTTATTTCCATATTTTTCACTTAGGTAACATTATCTGATAAAGGGATTGTCGAAATTTGGAAAAACCGCTCACTTTATGCATTTTTGCTTCAAAATACGGGAATTATCACTAGCAACAGTTACATCAATTAATTAGACTAACAGAATAAATAATGTAATTAAGATACTTCCTTATAGATGGTTTCAGAAATTTTGGGCTAGTGATGGGTTATTGAATAATCAGAAGAGTACAAGAAGACCGACAGATAGCAGATCGGACGGAAACGTTCAATGGTGTCTGACGTTGTCAAAAATTACAGACGGATAGAGTGACATATGAATTTTTAAGTTTGTCTTATGCCACTGTACAAAATATTTTGACAGAGGGTTTGTTTATGAAAAGAGTGAGTGTATAATGGTGCCAAGAATTCTTAAAGAAAGTAAAATTGAGGAAAATGTTTGTGAATCACATATATTTTTTTAATGAAACGAAGATCAAACGCTTAAAAGTATGACGGTGCGTATCCGTCATATGACGTTATATTTTGGTGTGGCGACTACCGTAAACGCATATTGCCTAAATTCTGATATTTTGGAAAGTATAAATAATATTCCTTTCAATTTTTTAGGTCTGATTTGAAACAAATAAAGCTTTCATCATGTATAATTCTGTTGTTTAACGTCGATTTATAGCAATTTTATAAAAGTTGAGACATTACTTTTGGATCATACCTAGTTTTAGTTTATTTTTGAAAATCTAGGTTAACAATTATTTTTAACTATTACAATCCACCTGTCGCAAGATGAAAGGATTTTGTCCTATATACAGATTCAAATTTATGAGACTCGTTTTGCTTGTCTGGCTAAAAGGTTATTTTAGTCAACTTTCCTTTATTTTGGTAATGTAACATACTTACAAAACTACTACATTAAGAAAATAGAACTGCGTAATTGCGTATGAATTTGCTCAAGATTTCATTTAATATAAAATTCACAAGGTTGAAATCTTCATTCCAGGATATGAAGAAAAATATTGTTATGTTCAGTTCAGTAGTGCAAAATATTGCTTTTTCAAAATAATGTGACTACAATAAGAATATTTCTCAGGGGGGTGTAAATTAAAATATTATCTTAATTAAAAATTCAATTGTGGAAAATACTAGTAGTGTGATTATAGAGTTTTTTCTCCATGATACTACAAGTATGTAAGTCCTGCTTTTTAAAGGAATAATATATATAGATACATCTTACCAATTTATTAGAAGGGATTGTTACAACTAATTTTTAAATCATAGGACCTTATGTTTAATGCTTTGCTTACTAAAATACTTCCAAGAATAAAATTTGATCACAAATATTTATGTTTTTTAAAGGGATAACTGATTTTAGAAGTGAAAAACTAGTATCCTGCAAGATATTTCAAACGAGGTAGGGTGGAAATTTTATAAAACATAAATAAGTCAGCAGTCTCATTTCGTAACTTCTATGGACAATGACTTTGTCAGCATATGTTGTCTGATGATTATACACTAACTGTTGGATAATTATTTACAAAATAAATTGTCGACGGATTTTTCAGATTTTTCTCGACCATGTTAAGGAGCACATGGCGGGTTTTATCAGTCGCCGAGATTTGGTAGGGATTGTCCACTCCTCATTGCCACCTGACCCCGCTTTTTATGCTTTAGAGATCCGTGTCTGATTTACTCTGGTTTTATATTATTTCTTTCGACTTTTGATCTTAAATACTGAATGATATCTATATATTTTTCTTCTTAAAATGGTCATTAATGACACCATTTGTAAAAAAAAGAAGACAATTTTCAATTAAGATTACCAGAATATTTTTGATAAAAACTAGGACTAATAAATTATGAACGTTAGAATCAGAGTATATTTAGAACAATGCAATATCCTATGAATCAGTGCTAAATTATTCATGCCTACCTCTTATTGAAATTCTATTGATAATATATCCTGCTTTTGCCTTTTAAAAAACTTATTATAAAACCTAATGTATTAATAAAATTATATCGAAAAGAATATATCAGAAATATAATGGAACGATTAGGGTTCTTGATGTTCAATAGGGAAAAGGTTATTCATGTTCGTTTCATTTGATTTGCTGAAAATTGAGATGTTCTTATATCAGTCTCGAAAAGGGTGTATATTTGATGTATGTACAAGCATGCAGAAGAAAGAACACTAAAAACAAACTTTACTCACTTTAAAAGGAAAGAAAAGGTACATATAGCTTTACTTTGAGTTTGTTTTACAAATGTCAATTCTAGTTTTTTATTTAAAACACATAACCTAAACACCGTTCACGTTAGCTAAGTCGATAGAGCCCTTGATCCGTGAGCGGGAGGTCGTGAGTTCGTATCTCGACCGCGACTGACCCAGCCAATAAAATGGGTAGCAACTGTTCCTTCTCCATGAGCTCGGCACTTTGAAGTGAAAGTTGCGGGTCTTTCGGATGAGACCTTAAATACCGAGTCCCCGTGTCAGCGGCAGGCGTTGGCACGATAAAGATTCCTCACTGCTCAATGGCCCTGAGTGCCGAGTAAAGGTCAAAATTTGAAGCCCTTCACCGTCATATGGTGACGTCTCCATATGATTGAAAAATTCTCGAGAGGGACGTTAAACAACAAACAATCAATCAATGATACCTAATATTTTCACAATAATTCATAAATTAATATCATGAAATTTTATTAAAAACCTTAGTAGATTTTTTAGGAAAGTTAGATAATGCCAGTTACCGATTAATAGATTCTGATAAATAACTGCTGTGAGGTAAAAACAGGAAATTATGAACTTTTATTGTGCATTGTCATATCTTTTTGCCTTTCTCGAGTTTAAAATAACATGGTGATAAATAAAAAAAAATAACATCTAATAACATCACGCATGCAAAAGATTTTATTTTCAGACTTTGTTTCTTTTATATGCTATTCACTGCTGATCACAATTTTTTTGACCTCCCATCCTATGTTGTTGAAAAAATGCTGGCAAACCCTGAAAATATAAAACATTAAGGGAGCAATGTTATATCAGATTAAAACTAAAACAATTTTTTGTGTTTATCTGATCACATTTTTTGTGTCATTATTCCTGATCGCATTAGGCTGTTTGTTAAAAAAAAAACACGTATATCTGTCAGCACATAGATGCAAAATTTTAATTTCCTATATCAAAATCTGCCAGAAATACAAAAGTATAATCATGCTAATTATTTCTTAAGAAGTATAAAATTGTATTTTCTTTTCAGATAACCGTCCAGTTTTGCTCTTACACGCATTTCAACTCTGGATTTTCTTTGCACTTTTAAATGCTGCATATTCCTTCATTCTCAATGCAAAAACCTTTTGGACATTCTGCAAATAACAACAAATGATGTCAGTACTGAGAATCGAGAAAATTGCAAAACTAACCTAATTTGAAATTTGTAATAAAAAACATGTACATTTCTTCAGTTTTCAAAACGCTCAAAAATATGTAAATTAAGGCAACTGTCGAAGCAATATAAGAACCGACATATTGAAAGTTGAACGATTTCTTATTACAGTAACGGTGATTGAAAAATAATTAAGAGCCATTTTAAATGTTTCCAAGCAATCATTTATGACCAATGTAATTTCTTTGTAAAATTATTTGAAACAATTCTCCCGAATCAATGACGTGCACTTATATTTATTATACATGTATTTTGTTAACCTTTTCTAGGTCTAGAAAAACCTCTAGAAAAACCACCACGTAAGCTCCTTCCCACGGCCATCACCTGAATTCAGATACAAAAAAAGGGAAAAAGATAAAAAAAATGTATTCACGGGATAATATTTAAATATTTCCTGAGATGGAATTGAAATATCATATCTTACAAGAATTATCCTTAATACATGTATTTATGCTTAATAAAATAATAAAACCAACGATATACAAATTGAAAAGTTTTGGATACATTTCAATACTATTTGTATATAATTTAGTTTCTGTATGTAAAGAAAAATTTACAGTAATCTTTCTCTAGAGGGAAATTAAACCGGTTGTCTTTAATATGAAAATATACAAATTAGCATCTTCACCCAAACGGCAGACATGCTGGTCATGTTGTTTGAAAATTTAGCATTGATTGCATTTATTTTTTCTCAGATTATCTCAGATTATCTTGCATCATACAAAACTGATGAGCTTGGCTATAAAAAGATTAATCACTTTTCAAAAAAAATACGTTCATCATATTGAATTTCTTCACTGACTTGATAAAAATTTCGTAGTATTTGAAAGGATTGATTGACTTATGCCCTTAATATTTGTCACAAGCTTAAGTGTGTGACATCCCCGATTTTTCTGTACATACACCATTTTTTGAAAATTAAAGAAAATTATGGAATGAATATTTGAACATATATTACATTGATTTTTGATTTTTAAAATAACAAGCAAATGAATAACACTTTAAATTTGTAAACTTTGAGATTTATGTAAAAAAATATTCTTACTAAACAAATAATTATCGGACATATTTTTGATATATTATTCAGTAGATAATAGATTAGTTGTACATTAGATATAATTATCTGCTGCAATACAAAACATCAATTAGTAAGAACAGTGTTCTAATAAACGTGTATGCATAAAATTAACTTACGAAAAATAAAGCCAACAACAATCCAAAAAAAATGTTTCTTTTCATTTTCTTCTTGCAACTTTCGTCTTTCCCTTGAGTTATCCTGGACTTATATAGATTATTTATATAAAGACCACGCGTTCTAGATCTTTTCGGGGTACACTGTAAATATGTTAAATAATGAAGGAGTGCTTGATCAATAACCAAGATTTTTAAAGAATTATTGTTTTTTGTAGTATGACAAATGTTATCAAAACACCAAAAATAGCCAGAAAACGAAAAAGGACAATCGTATATGCCTTAATAATAACTCCATGGCATTGATTTTATGAGAGCTTTAACGATCTTAAATACGAATTTTGGAAGGTGTTTCATTGAAATCTTCTTGCACTTTCACAACATTCAAGTGGAGATTCGGTTATGTATTAAAAACTAAGGAGGGATACTGGTTATTTGGCTCCGCTTACTGGCATTTCTACTATGAATTTTCTGAACAAAGGTTTTAATATTCCTCAACTATATGAATTAAAGTTCACGAGACCCATTTTGTTTGTCTGGCTAGAGGTCAGTTTAGTCAGCTTTGCTATATCATTGATATTTTAATTAATGGTACAGCTACTGTCTTAGGAAAAAGAACTCCTGTTAAATTGTTTGGTATTATACAATATCTAAATTATAATCAAACTCGAATTAAATGGTAAACTATTTTTTTTCGAGAGTAAAGAAAAATTTTTTCCGGTTTCGTTGAGTAATAACAAAATATTGCTAAAAAAAAAAATTAAGCCACTTTTCATAAATGTAGTTCACAAAAGAAAAGTGGGAAAATGATATCTTGTTCTGTTTTTCTTAACTGATTTGTTTATTGAGAATTAAACATTGGGACCTAAACTGTTGAGTATGATGTTGAATACTGAAGTTATATATAGTAAATAAATTTCCAAAGATTAAATTTAATCTCAATTAATAATGGTTTTCTGAAGGCCTACACCATTAAAAGAAGTGAAAACGTGGTATCCTTTCAAGAAAGATCAAATGCGTTAAGTTATTGACAAACATATTGATGAGACAAGGATACCAACAGTTTCATTTAAAGTCATTATTCTGTAAATTGAACAGACTATATAATGGTCTTGTCAGCAAAATATTACAATATATTATGAAGTCAAATACTGACTTATGTTTTAATATTAATGGACGTAAAACAATAATTTACATTCTAAATTCATACTTATTTTTACTGCACAAGCTATAAACTTGTGCTGTTTTAGTGGAATTTTGAGCTTGAAAACTGCTCGTTATCTCCATTACTTTTTCCTCAAAATTTTTACTTTTTCCTTTCCTCTTGTCACCCAAGTAACATAATCTGAAAAGGGGTGTTAATTTAAATCTGTTTGTTAATAGGTTTGTCCATTGACTCTGAAGTAAGCAATCGGTCGACAAATTTACAATGACAACAAAAGCGTTTGATGTGTTCAGCACACGTCAGAGAGTTTTCCAGGGCCCCAAAGGTATTAAGAAATGTGGGAAAACTCCGATACATCAGGAGAGGGCATAATGCGTATGTAAATCTTGTGTGTCTGTTTCTCTGTCTGACATTAAAAAAAACCTAATATGCATCTGTAAATATTTTGCAGCTGTCTTGTGTTTGACGTTAACTGGCGGAGGTCATTGAAACTGAAATTAGAGACCTCGTGTAATTTGAATCTACGACGGTTGATCCAAAAGTAATGTCACAGTTTCCATATCTTTTATATTTGGCGTCATATCATCAAATGCCACGCAACAAAACATGCAAAAATACAAATCTAATAAACATTGAAATTTTCATTTCATAATGTTTATTAAATTTATTTTGTAGATGTTTAAAATATAAAGCATAGGGAGTGTCGCCGTGTCACAACTGAACGTCACATTTTAAATTGTATTTTTCAAAGTCATTTTCTAGTTTTTAATTGAAAATTAAATGACGGCATTTATATTTGTGATCATACAATTTTTGTTTTACTCTCTTAAATTGAACAAAGGTATTGTCAAAATGGGGAAAAACGGCTCATTTTATGCATTTTTGCTTCAAAATATGGTAATTACTAGCGACAGTTACATTAATTAATTACACTAACAGAATAAAGAATGTAATTAAGAGACTTATTTTTAGATGGTTCCAGGAATTTTGGGCGAGTGATGGGTTATTGAATGATCAGAAGATGACAAGAAGACCGAAAGATAGCAGATCGGATTGATTCATTGATTGATTGATCGTATGTTGTATAACGTCCCTCTCGAGAATTTTTCACTCAATTGGAGACGCCTAGCAGATCGGACGGAAACGTTCAATAGTGACTGACGTTGTCAAAAATTACAGACAAATTTTTATGTTTGTCTTATGCCTCTGTACAAAACAATTTGACAGAGGGCTTATTTATGAAAAAAGTGAGTGTATAAAGGTGCCAAGAGTTCTTAAAGAAAGTTAAATTGGTGAAAATTTTGAAAATCACAGATATTCTTTAATGAAACGAAGAGCTAAGGCTTAAAAGTATGACGGCGCGTATCCGTCATATGTCGTTATATTTAGGTGCGGCGACTACCATATGCGCATACTGTCTAAATTCTGATACTTTGGAAAGTATACATCATGTTCCTTTGAATTTTGGTCTGATTTGAAATTAGCAAAGATTGTTTTCATCACGTATAGTTCTGTTATTTCAAGTCAATTTATAGCAATTGTGTCAAAGTTGTGACATTACTTTTGGATTAACCCTCGTATAAGTTATTTTTTAAAATCTAAATTTACAATTATAATTGTTCACTATAATTACAATCCACCTGTCGCAAGATGAAAGGAAACTGTCTTACATACAGATTCAAATTCATGAGACTCGTTTTGCTTGCCTGGCTAGAAGGTTATTTTAGTCAACTTTACTTTATTCTGGTAATGTAACATACTTAAAGAAACTACTATATTAAGAAATTAAAGTGTTTAATTGCGTATGAAGTTGTACAAGATTTCATTTAATATAAAATTCACAAGGTTGAAATCTTCATTCCTCTTCAAAATTGTTCGGTTCAGTTCAGTAGTTGCAAAATATTGCTATTTCAAAATAATGTGACTTACAATAAATATATTTCTTAGGGGCGAAATGTAAATCAAAATGTTACCTAAAATTAAATATCTAACGATTCGTGAAAATAGTGTGATTATAGACTTTTTTCTGCATGTACTAATAGTTTGTAATTCCTGCTTTGAAACGAAAAATATATATAGATATATCTTACCAATTTATTAGAAGGCTTTGTTGTGACTAATTTTTTTAATTTGGGACCTTAGTTTGCCATCATAATGTTTAATGCTTTGTTTACTAAAATACTTCAAAAAGAAAAATTTGATCACTGATATTCATTTTTCTAAAGACATATAGGATTTCAGAAGTGAAAATTTGTATCCTGAAGGTTATTTCAAACGAGGTACGTTGAACAGTTGATAAATAATGAATATGTCAGGAATCTCATTTTGTAGTTTTTTTTATGGACAGGACAATGACTTTGTCAACATATTCAATTTTCCAAACAGTGAAATGTTGGCTGAAGATTAAGCACTAACTGTTCAATAATTATTTAAAAAAAGAATTTTTTGACGGATTTTGCTGATTTTTCCTGAGCATTTTAAGAGACACATCGCGGGTGAAGCCAGTCGTCA